AGAAAGAAAGAAAGAAAGAAAGAAAGAAAGAAAGAAAGAAAGAAAGAAAGAAAGAAAGAAAGAAAGAAAGAAAGAAAGAAAGAAAGAAAGAAAAATACTTTAAGGAGACGAAGTGGAAACAACTGTAAATAGAATAGCAGGAGCGTGAAAGGAAGGATACTGTCTTGTTAGAACATGGGGCACTGCCTCACACTTTTAATCCCAGCACTCGGGAGGCAGAGGCCAAGGCTGGCAGAGCTCTGTGAGTTCAAGGCCAACCTCGCCTACAGAGCTAGTTCCAGGACAGCCAGGGCTACACGGAAAAACAAACAAACTAAAACCAGAAAGGAACATTGTGCAGTAAGAGCCATGGACAGCGAATAGCACAGGGCTGTGAGTGAATGGTTTGTCAGATCGTTATGCTGAGAGACCAGAAGCCCCACACAAGAGTGCCTGCCTGGAGGGTAAACCCAGTCTGCTTTCTGAGAGTTTGAATGGGAACATAATACTTGAATTTTATTATAAGTTATACTTAGATTTAAAATGTCTAAATAAATGGAGTAGGTAAGAATCAGATAGACTTGTTTGGTCAAGGTACTGATGAATTCAGAACTATGCATCTGGACAGATGGCTCAGTGGTTAAGAGAACTGGTTACTCTTCCAGAGGGTGCAGGTTTGATTCCCAGTACACAGTGGGTGGCCCACAACTGTCTGTAATTCAAGGGGATCTGATGCCCTCTTCTGGCTTCTGCATGCACATGGTCCACACACAGGTAGACAAAACACCATACACATAAAAATAGTAAATGCATAAAATGTTTTTAAAAGATTATTAGAGAACACCATACTCCACATACTGAATTTTCAGAATCCATCCACATACTGGATTTTCAGAATCCAAACTTTTCCTTTACTTTGAATTTTTTAAGTCTAGTTTCAAACTATATTACTCTCTTCTCCTAAGGTACTGATGTCTTCTTAGTGATTTAGTGCTACTGTGTGAGCATGCTGACATAGAAAGGTTTGTCTTGTATGGCCAATAAGAACATGACTCAGCCAGATGTGGCAGCGCACGCCTTTAATCCCAGCACTTGGAAGGCAGAGGCAGGTGGATCTCTGTGAGTTTGAGGCCAGCCAACCTGGGTCTACAAAGCAAGTTCCAAGACATCTAGGGCTGCTACACAGAGAAACCCTGTCTTGAATCCCCTCAAAAAAATAAAAAATACCTATGTCTCATAGGTAAGTGGATTATATGGAAAAAAAGGAAGTGGACCTTTTTCATGGTGAGCCAGTCAAACTAGATGCTGCCTTCTGATTGAGGCTAAGGCACAGTGGGCTCATTTCCAGCTTGCCTGCAAAGGGGTTAGTAATATCTGTCTCTTGGGTGTGGGTGGTGAGTGAGGACAGTAAAGCAGATTTGCTTTTTGTGATATCAGAAGTCCGGCGCAGATGCTGTCCTATGTAGAGAAACTACGAAAGAGAAGTTCTCCCGTGTTAGAATAGCAAGAACACAGGCACGAGCTGCTCCATCTTTGTGTTCTCCCATTCCTGCCTGGGTTATTGAGAACTGTGGCCTCCTTGTGACTCGGGTGCTCCTGCCCTCTGACTTTCCTTTTGTAGTGGCCAGGGCGACGAGGATGGGGAGGTACTCCTGTATTACTGCTACTGTGACTTGGAGGACCCCCACAGGATCTGTGCCTGGCAAACAGCTCTGTGCCAGCTCCTGCACCTCACAGGCAAGGTAAGCCCTGCTGCCCACGTGCCCTGCACAGCCTCATCCTGTCTGGACTGCAGGAGCTGTGCTCTTTGTGGAAGTCTTCACTCCAGGTTCTCAGAACAAGGGAAATCCTGCCTGGCATTCTAATGAAGTCATAAACAGCTGCTGATGTGTTATTTTCTAGACCAGGAGTCAGTCACCTATACCTAAAGAATCGAATAGTAATTATCTCAGGCTTTGTTAAAAACCCAACAAACCTGCTCATTGCTCCCGGAGGTTGAACCATCCCTGGGTGGTTCCTAAAGGAGTGCTGTGGCTGTGTCCCGATACAGCTGGATGCTGACAGTTGGCTGGTGGCTGAGATGGGGAAATGTTCGGAACCCAGAGGCCTCTGCATGTCGGTTTGATTCTCATAGCACCTTTGTTTCCCGAGAACCAGGTCTTTTACCACCTCAGGTACTGACGTTTGCTCCTCCTTCCCTTCTCTGAACACACACCCCACCCCCACACACCCCGCCTTTGCTCAAAGACTTCCTTAGGGTCTGAAAGTAGAACCTGCCTCCTCAGCATACAGGCCGCATGGGGAGCCAGGAGCTTCTCTCCAGTGCTGCGCTGTGCTCTCAGTGCTGGAGCAAGTGTATGGCAGACTCTCTGTAAGGATCGGAGACTGGGAGTGAAGGAAGACTGCATGTCCGTAGCGTAGCCACGAGTGCGTGTGTAAAGATGAGAGGAAGAAGCATATTCCCAGATGGCAACGTTCATCTCTGCGTGAGAGGACAACATTCATTTTTGTAAAATGCCGTTTGTGGTTTATTCTCCACATTTATGTCTATTAAATAATTTTCAAATTTTGAATCTAAAGGAAGTGCAGTAGAAACCTTCTGAGGTTCTTCCACACCCCAGTTACTAATAAACTGATAGGTCAGTGACATTTTTCACGCCCATGTCATTTGACAAGTACTGGTTCACTCACCCCATTCAGTTCATCACCACACCCTGCCCTGCAGTGCTGTTCACATTGCAGATGGTCTTTAAAAAAAAACAACAACCAGTACCAGAGACTGGGGTACAAGCTGAAAGATCAGAGAAGCAGAACAAGCCACAGCCACCACCTGTTACCTTACCAACTCCATGAATTCTCTGAGATCCTCTGTGTCTTCACCCGAAAGGATCTCGGCTGAACTGCCTTAGTTCCTGTTTCCTCACGCCTTAAATACCTTTCTCCGCCCTGCCGGCACATCCTGGGATGAAAGGTGTGTGTGTGTGTGTGTGTGTGTGTGTGTGTGTGTGTGTGTGTGTGTGTGCGCTTCCCAGTACTAGGACTAAAGGTGTGTGCCACCATTGCCTGGCTCTGTTTCCAGTGTGGCCTTGAACTCACAGAGATCCAGGCAGATCTCTGCCTCTCTCATGATAGGATTAAGGGTGCGTGCCACCACTGTCTGGCGTCCATGTCTAATCTAGTGGCTGGCTCTGTCCTCTGATCCTCAGGCACGCTTTATTAGTGTACACAGTATATCCCCACACTGCAGTATCCCTGGACTCCATTTCCTTCTTTTTTCCACTTCAGTCACCCTAGACCAAGCTGCCGCTCGGTCTCCTCCGTGCGGTAAGTTCCAGACTGGCCTCCAGTTCCTAGTTGTCACCCACCATTTAGTCTGCTCTCCATGCGGCAGCCAGAAGGATCTGGTTAGAGCAGCTCCAGCAGCACTGGATGGGCTTGGCCACCTCCCCAACAGCCTCCACTGCTGCAGGGCAGGGCCCTTGGTCTGGCCACTCTTCACACTCCAGCTGTGCCCTTGGGTTTCTTGGGACCTAGCAAGATTTGTTTGGTTTGCCTTTTCCTTGACAAACTCTCTTCAGGGAGCACTCCCACACCCACCGTTCCCCTAGTCTAAGTTCCCGAAGCTTCCGTTGTCCATTTTAATGACACTTTCTCGGAACCCTTTCTCTCCTCCCACCTGAACTCATTTTCCTCAGTACCCTCCGGGGGCATCCGCGACCCTTTCATAGCTTTCCAGCGCTCGTCTGTTTCTGACTCTTTGCATCTGTGAGCTGGCGGAGGCAGGGGCGTTACTTTTCAACAATGTATCCTAATGCCTAGCACATAGTTTTGGAAACTGGTATTTGTATTCTGAATATATATCACCATCTCTGTTCAGTGAACTTTCTCAACAAGAAAGATGACTGTTCATACAAAATGTACAGAATTATGAAATCAGTCTTATTGTGGTTTCAAGCTAAGTGTGGTGGTACATTTTTGTAATCTCATCACTCAAGAGTCTGAGGCAGGAGGATTGCTGCAATTTCAAGAGCAGGCTAGGCTACATACAGAGAAAAAAAGGTCTCTTGGTCTAGGAGGCCTTTCCTTTTAGGCCCAGCCTGTGGCACCCTAGCAGTGAGCAATCCCGTCCACCAGGTGGCAGCAGTTTCCTGGATCTCAGATCCAAATTTCTAGACTTCAAAGACTTGGCCAGTTTAATGAGATACTTTAGTGCCGTGCTTTGACAATATTGGTTCTTAGGTAAGGAAAGGAGAACCTGAGTGTTCCTTGCTGTACATCATATGACCTCAAGAAATTTGAGAATGACTTGTGGAAATGGCTTAACAGTTAAGAATGCTTACTGCTCTTGCAGAGAACCTGGGTTCAATTCTCAGCACCCACAGAGCAGCTCACAGCAGTCGATATAAGTGGAGTTTCGGGGGAGCCAGTGCCCTTTTCTGACTTTCACAGGCTCCTGAACACACTTGTACGAATACATACATGCAGGCACACACACATGCACATAAAGTGAATGGATTAATTAATAAAATGTGAGGGATACATTCAGACTTGGAAAGGACAAATGATAAGATTTGAATCCTACGACAGTTGAGTCACAGATCCACTACTCACCAATTCTTTGACTGCTCTGCAGCCGTGGCTGCCCTTTTCTGGTCTGTGGACTGGAGATGAGAATGTGGAGCTCTGTCTCAGGAGGTGCTCCACATGCTAACTGTTGCTTGTCTCAGTTTCTTACTGACAAGGCCTTTCCCCAAAGAGCATCTCTGATAGATACTGCACATCTCCTGAGGGAGTTTAGAGGTGACTGTCCTAGGCAGTGGATATGCATGGCGTGCATTTGGTTTCTGAGATGAGAATGAAATGGGAAAGAACTGGCCCGCCTACCCAGAAACAGCCGCATAGAAACATGCACTCATCCTCGCCTCCGCCGGACTGTTCTCAGATGGACCTCCTGACCTTGCTCCCGAGGCTGTCGTGCTTTGCTGTCTCCTGTTGGGTGGGGATAGGTATGGTGCCCGTGGGCAGAGATGGCCCGTGCACTCTGCTTCCCCGGCTCACACCCAGAGCCTGCTCCCTGGATTGCAGCCCTCTTTGTTTTCTGAATGTGTTCCAAGACAGGGTTTCTCTGTGTGGCCTGGCCTGTCCCAGAACTTGTTCTGTAGTCCAGGCTGGCCTCACACTCACAGAGATCCTCCTGCCTCTGCCTCCTGAGCGCTGGGAAAAGGTGTGTTGTAGCACGCCCAGCTGCAGCTCTCTTTCTCAGGGAGTCTGTGGGAATCAGGATACTTCTCTGGGTAGTTACCAGTCAACTGGCATTGGCTTGTCACATGACCTAAGAGTTGGATCAAGTGAGACAACTGCTCAGTTGTCTTCTCTGGACCCCGAAAACGAGCAGCCACATATAACTTTCAAATTGGCTGCCTTTATGTGTGAATAGTGGTGACAGTTCTGGGCCTTGAATTGAATCCCTTCTCTCCATGATGTCCCAGCTGGCATTCTCTAGCACCTTGCTCTGAGGTGGCCCCTTATAAAGTTGCTCCATCTTAAACTCACCCACAGAATCTTGCTCTCTTAGGACAACCAGGCTGTGCAGGCCTCTGGCATGCCCTAGACAGGCTTTTATGTTTCATTCCCAGTGAAGTGTTTCAAAGACAGTTTCAGATTAGAGAAGCCAGAGGAGCCTGGATGTGGGCACACATGCATTTACTCAGTGGGTACTGAGCCCACCATGTGGCAGGCATTGATACAGACATAGGGGACGTGAGTAAGCAAAACATAACTAGAATTACAGCCTATAGGTTTGGGATGGTGGCTTTCCTTCAGCCTCTGTGCAGAGGTGACATGTGCATCCCACTATCAGATAAGTTCCCTCTTTAGAACTGGGGTAAAGTCTCTTCAGTGGGCTTTTTTTTTTTTTTAATTCACTTTTGGCATTGTCGTACCTATGAAAGTAGCATGGAGACATCAAAGTTGAAGCTTCTTGGGCCTCCTGTGAGGAAGTGGTGGAGCTCATCTTCTTCCTAGCCTCTGGAAGCTCTGTCTACAGCCTGGGTTTAGACTCATCTCAGAACCCCCTTTGTTACTGGGCAGTTGGAGCTCTGGACCGAACAGGCTTTCCAGAGGTCTCAGTCCCGTGTTCTTGTTTGGCACATATGGACTGAATTCCTCAGCTGACCAGTGGGTCCCGCTGCTTCAGAGGGACACACTTGTTGTCTTGTAAGAGCCTCTGCTCTTCCTGTTAGCTCCTTGACATGAAAGGGACCTTTAGTCTGTCCTGGGAAGACAGCCAAGCTAAGACAGCACTCTTCTCACCATCCCGTGTCTCAGATCCGGATCGCTACCGAAGGAATCAACGGAACCGTTGGAGGAAGTAAAGTGGCCACCAGACTCTACGTGGAAGCCATGCTTTCTTGCCCATTATTTAAGGATTACCTGTGTGAGGAAGATTTTAAGGTAAGAGAAGTAGGAAATGAACTAAAGCTCGAGCAGTCTGCTGGTGTGGGTCATTGAAGAGCCAGACAAACCCCTCCCCTTGAGTTCCAAGCCGGTGCGATGAAACAGGCGTACTTATCACTGCTGCCAATGAGTGACCGTGGCACCTCGCAGAATCAGTCAGACCCTTCCTGGTCCCAGTCTCCCTTCCTGTAAGGATGCTGCACTTAGACAAGCTGGCATCTGAAACCAGCATGTTTTGACTGGAGAGACTGATTGGCAGATCTCCGTGGTGGACTATGGTTTCAGTAACCCCAAGTTAAAGCTGACACCACCTGAGAGGAAAGCTGTGGCTCTGTCAGCAGAAGTGCTGTGTCTCAGTCCTTCAGGCTTCAGCACAGTGAGTGGTGAGCTGGCGGGACACCCGATGATTCCCAAGCTGCCATTGCTCCCCAACCAGAGCTGGCGTGCGATCACGTCAGTGGCTCAGTGGTGCTGACTTACATGTTCAGAGCCCTACAAACATTATGTTCCTGCATGTGGAAGTGGCACAGTGAACATTTATTAACATGTTGAATTATCTGGAACATTCTGGATCATGGCTTTATCTCCATTGACACTTCCTTTTTACCCCTAATTTGAGGTTTAAAATTTCAGCTATCACACCATAAAACAGACCATAATTTTTATATTTGGCACTTGTCTTCAGCTGGCAGTGGGACAATAAACTCTGTCTTGTTTCTCCTTGGCCAGAGCAGCAAAGGAGGCGCTCACTGCTTCCCGGACTTGCGAGTCGGTGTGTTTGAAGAGATCGTGCCTATGGGGGTCAGCCCCAGTCAGATCTCCTACAAGAACCCTGGTATGCTCATGTCGTAGAGTCGTGCTCTTGTCATAGAGATAAAGCATAATAGGCAAGCAAGAAAGGGAGACATTGATCAGCAGACACCAGTGGATCTTCTCTCTGAAATAGCCACAGGGCAGCTAACCGTCTATCCAGGATTTGAACTGGCTTCTGTGGTACTTATGGTAACTAAAGGCTCACCTTTAGACCCATAGCACATTTTTCTCGGTAATGGTTTGGCAAGAAGTTGTTTCCTCTTTCCAGAGAGAGCAATTTGAAAGTGGTGTGGTTATTACTTGCAAATAGTTCATCAGCAGAAAGAGCATGTGGGCTTTTGTCACGGTAAGCAAATAGCTTTCAAAACCAAAGCAGTGTTCTAGAATATTCAATCCCTGCTTCCCTGTGCTTACTATAGATGACTGAAAGACATTTGTTTGGTGGGGATTTTTGGTTTTGTTTTACTTTTTATCATGAAAGTTTTCAAACACTAACTAGAGTAGAGAAAATAATAGAATGAACTTCCATATGCTTACCATGCAGCCTCAGCAGCTACTCATTCATGGCAAACTGTCCTCTCACCCCATTCCTTTCTCCCATCCTAGATCACTTTAAAGAGAACCTCTGTGTCATGTTATTTCACTCATAAATATTTCAGTAGATACCTCTAAAAGAAAGGTTAACAGTTAGCTTTTACTATTAACCATGTCTAAAACATTTTAGCAGTAATTACTTCATAAATATCTTGTCAGTGAATTCCCAGTTGTGTCATGACTTCTGAAGTTTCTATTAGGATTAAATACGAGGAGCTGAGACGGCTCACTGGGTAAAGCACTGGTCACTCGGGTGTGTCACAGTGTGCACACCTGTAACCCCAGAGCTGCTGTGAGATGGGAGCAGGACCAGGAGACCCTCAGAGAGTCACAGGCAGCTGACACACAGCAGTCCCTTGCAGACGAGATGGAAGGTAAACACTCATGCTTGAGCTTGTCCTCTGACCTCCACACAAATAAAACAGATTTAAGTAAGCTCTCTTCAGCCAGTCTTTAAGCTTGTGCATTCAGATTGGCTTTCAAGGATTTCAGTCCTTTGGCTTGTGGAGGTTCTCAGAGTCTGGATAGTGTTAACTGCGTCCCATGGGGTAGTCCTCAGCTGACTGTATCTCCTGGAGACACACGTACTTGTATATATTTGTGTGAGTGTGTGTGTATGCGCTTGTGAGCTGCAGCGAGCATGTGGAAGTCAGAGGATAACTCGTGAGGCTTGGTTCTCTCCTTCCATCATAGGGTTCTGGGGATAAAACTCAGATCATGAGGCGTGAAGGCAGTTCCTTTACCTACTGAGCCATCTTGCTTGCCCTGCAGGTTAGTTTTGAAGGCACCCAACCATTTGTCTATAGAGTTCCCCAGTCTTGGAATAGTCCTAATTACATCCCAATAGGGTGGTCCTCTGTTCACCTATCTCCCCTAGATTGCTCTTTAGATTAAGAATTATGCTGTCGAGTAGAAATACGGGAGCCACGTAACATTGTTTTTCAATTTCTAGTGTAAATAGAAATAGGTGAAATGAGCTTGCATAACATGGTTAACATGTCCAAAACATATCAGTATGTACTGAATATAAAACTATTAATGAGATTTACTTTTTTCATACTAAGTCCTTGAAATGCAGTATGTCACACTTACTGTCACCTTCCTCAGAGTACACTCAGGGAGTTGTCATCCACAGGTGACCAGCAGCATCTGTGCTAGACAGCTCTGGGCCCGAGCCTTGATCAGTTCAGGTTCAGTCCCTTCTCTGCCTCCACTTGTGTGACTGCTCCAGGATAGCATTGCCTTCCCTCAAAGAACAGAGGGCCACCCCCTCAAAGATAGTAAGTTTTCATGGGTCAATATCAAAGAGAAGGCCAAGGGTAGAGGGGGGAGGGGGGAGACACAGGCATCTTGAAAATAGGCTCCTGCATGAAGAGAGAGGACCCAGGTAGGGATGTGTCTGCTTGGTGTCCCCGTCTTAGTGTCCCCGTCTTAGCAGGAGGTAGTATGACAGCATCTCTCCTTGGTGTGGCAGGACGCTGCTTGGGAGCTGAGGGGAGGCTGGCCTGGGCTGCCTTTCACTGAAGGAGGTGACTAAAGGGACTTCTTGTCTATTTGGACCCTCTCTGCCAGAAGAGCAGCAGCAGTAACAGCAGCAGGGAACACTTTGGGCTCCCTGAAGTTCCCTGCTGCAGGGAGAAGACAAAGAGAATTCCCATGCTCCTCCTCATAGTTTTGAAGCTCACTTTTGACATCACCATTTTGGGACCCATGTGAGAATGTGACATGGCCTGAATAGCACAGGCCTGGATAGAGAGCTGGGAACCTAGACTGCTCAAGGGCCCTTTGCTCTCCAGGTTTGGGGAACTAGTGATGGTTATTGGGGTTCGTGCTGAATACAGCGAGGCTCCTGTGGTGCCATAGAGCTCTGTCATGAGTGGTGGATAACTATGTCACAACCCCCCCCCCCCAAGTGTAATTATCCCACAATGCAAGGTTCACGCTGAGTTCTTCACAGTGAGTGAGATTTCTGGGGATGTTTCTGTTCTGGGAGTCTAAGGCGAAGGCTCCACAGACTAGAGTCCGTTCTCTCAGCCCTCTCCTGTTGTAGAGCTTTTCTTTCCCTCTCCTGCCCTCTTTTTCATGTGTGTTGTCACCCCCCCTTCTCTTCTGCATGCACATTTAGATAGATTCTCCTTACCCTTGTATCAAACACACACATGCTCTGACTTTCCCATAACACCGTGCTCTCAACTACCTTGGCCTAAGCCAAGGTCTTAGCCTTGAATTTGGAGTCAACTTTGTTAACTGACAATTTGAAGGCTGTAGTGAATCCTGAGCATGTTGACATTGACATTGACAGCAGGACCCTCTCCATTTCCTTACTCACTAGTGACCACACAGCACACAGTGTGCTGGCACTCCACATAAATCCCTAAGCATCTAGTTTAAGAATAATCCCTTATTTCTCAACTGTCGGAGCTCTGTAGTCTCAGGTTAGAGCAAGGAGATAGAGATGCCTGGGATGCTGAGATGTTTTATCTTGATCATCAGATACTGTCATTCTTTGAATTGTAATTAGTGAAAAGAGGTTTAGGTGGAAAGAAGCAAAGTCCACACTTAGGTTGGGACAGTTGTGATTAGATTTTCCTGTTGTTTTAATGTAATTGTTTGGCTTGGTTTTAGGAATCCATTTATCCCCTGGTGAATTTCATAAAGAAATAGAAAAGCTTTTATCGCAGGCAAATCAGGACCGAGGTGACACTATCCTACTGGACTGCAGAAACTTCTATGAAAGCAAAATAGTAAGTAAAGCAGAACTGAGCGCCGTGCAGGGTGTGTGTGCCAGCACAGCACATGTCTTGTGTGGAACCTTTAGTCTCCTTCCTGTGCTGGCAGCATCGGGGAAAACTGAACTCTAAGTCTGTTGAGAAAGTCTAAGGAAATACGAGTTCAAGACATCTTGGCACATAAAATGATTTTGTTTCCCATGAACCTCCTCTCGGCATGTGCCAGTGACCTTGTGAAAGCTGCCACTGTAACCTTGACCATTCCCCTGGGGGATCTGTAGGAAGGGAACCCACAAGCCTAGCCCCGTGTCTAGTTCCAGATCTTGAAGTTAAAGGGTGAGAGTGTGGGATGCAAACCTTGGGTAGCAGATGCTTGTTACCCAGGTGGGGTTGTTACCCGGAAAGAACCGGGTTCCCAGCAGGTACATTTTCTAATCATTTCCTTCTGTCCCTATGTTGTAGGGACGATTCCAGGGCTGCTTAGCACCAGACATCAGGAAATTCAGTTACTTCCCTAGCTACGTTGACAAAAACCTTGACATTTTCAGGCAGAAGAGGGTGCTGATGTACTGCACTGGGGGCATCCGCTGCGAGCGGGGTTCTGCATACCTCAGAGCCAAGGTGAGCCAGCACACAGGGGTGAAGACAGCGCCACCCCCACCAGCCTCCCCCACCCTCCCCCCTGCTCACCCGAGCCGGCTGAAGGGTCTTCTTTCCCTGGCGCAGCTCCAGCATGGGGTCTGTAAGTGTAGACGCTGAGCTGCTTAAGCCTGCCGCACTTAGCCGTCGTGAGGACTCGTCCAGTACAAAGGAGCCAGCTTAGCTGAGTGGCTCCCTGTCCTAATCCCTGCGCCTGATCCCGAGAAGAGCACGTTCAGGAACACTGCATGTCCCGACAGATGCCTTCCTATATTTAGGGGCTAGCAAAAATAGTTAGGCTTCCCAGGGTCTTAGAGGGTGAAGGGCCTGACTGCTGTCGCCACCCATCCCCCAGGAGGCCAGGTCTAGCCAGGTGGTTCTTTGGCCCTTTGGTCAGCAGTTTCCACCCCTCAGGAGGCCACTGGGAGCCCCTGGCTGATGGGCACAGGTGGTGGATGCTGTGCCTGGGCATTCACCACCATGGAGCTGCTTCTAAATGTTTCTTTCACCACCGTAATGTTTTTTCTCTATCCAGGGGGTGTGTAAGGAAGTGTTTCAGCTCAAGGGTGGCATCCACAAGTACCTGGAAGAGTTTCCTGAGGGTTTTTACAAAGGGAAGCTGTTTGTCTTTGATGAGCGGTTTGCCCTGGCCTACAACAGTTCTGTGGTAGCAGGTAGGTCAGCCCAGGTCCAGGTCCAGAGCCTACATTCTGTCAGGTCAGAATCATTCACCATTCTGGACCACTGCCCAGGAAAGGCATTCCAGGACTGCCACCCTGGAATGACATGGGGAAGGGAAGGTCACTGGGCCACCGTTTTGTTCCCAGCAGCTGGAGATGCAGGAATGAAACGGGCATCGATGGTCCTGGCCATGCCGTATACTGGGTAGGCAAGTGCTTTAAAATTCAGACAGTGGTGGGATTCCCATACTGCCACGTCCACTGCTGGTGCTGTAGGTGACTAGCTCGTGTATTTAATGTTGCAAATAACATGGCTCTTGCTGTGTCGCACGTTTTGAAGATACTTTGCTCTTTTGTATTTCTATACAGTTGGTTTCCCTTGTCATGCTGTGCATTTGATTTTATTCATTTAAAATGGGTCCACAGTCATTGCCAGGCTACCAGATAATCCACAGCAGCAGAGTAGAATCAGGTGGTCTGTGCACACGAGTGCACATTGGGGGGCTCGTGTGAACACTGGGGGGCTCGTGTGAACACTGGGGGGCTCGTGTGAACACTGGGGGGCT